GGACTCTGCCGACGGCCAGGACATCCAGGTTCCGGAGCAGTTTTCTGGGTTGCTTCACGGTTCTTCCCCGATCTGTGAGATAAGCGAGGACCCTTTCAGACTCGTTTCCTCCGTGGAGAAAGGAGGCGCGGAAGCTACAAGCCACCCACCTGCTATGCAGCTGGAGGATGCTGACTTACCTGCCTCTGGATCAGTACGGACCAGCTCTCCGGACCAAAACCAGGCAGTGGTCTACGCAACCGTCCAGCACACGCACGTCAACCGGGCGGATCCTGAAACTGTAGTCACGCCCCACGTGCTACAGCACCCCGGCGGTGCTGAGGAAGAGGGGGACCGAGCTGTGGGCAGAGCCCACCCGGGCAGCAAGCCCAAAGCCGAGCTTAAACTCAGCCGCAGCTTGTCCAAATCGGACTCTGATCTTCTGACCTGCTCTCCGACGGAGGACGATGCCATGGGGAGCCGGAGCGAATCGCTCTCCAACTGCAGCACTGGGAAGAAGAGGCTGGAGAAGTCGCCATCCTTCGCTTCTGAGTGGGATGAGGTAAGGCTGACCTTGTTAAAGAGCTTCTGTGCTGGGAATGAGTCTGTGCAGCATGAGCCGCTCTCTACCATGCTGGCCTTCGGAGGGGGTCCTGGGTGGGTTTCGTGACTTTCACTGACCCTCACATCACACTGACAGGCAAACGCTCGCTTGGAAGTCTTTTAAGGTGTTAAATGCCTAAAGTTAGGCTTAACTGAAGTGAGAGCGAAGCAGAATTGCAAGAAGTGAGGGGCTTTTCAAAGCGTTTTAACTGGCTCCAATACAGGGCTGGATTTCTTTTAGGCAAGCCAAATAAGTTTTTTCATCCCCAAAATGAGGGAGAGTTGATAAGTGCTCCATATAATTCTTTATGCTGACCTCCTGTTCCACTTCTTCCCCTCTGGCCTCTCCCACCATCCAGAGGAGATGTTTGTTTCTGTGTCCCTGCTGCCGGTGGGGGGGGGTGAGCAGTGTCCTGGGTTCACGGGGATGGCAGGAAGGGAGTCATTAGGCTGCGTTTTGTGAAGTTAATAGCTCCCACTTCCCTCCTCGGGTATTTATTTCAGAGGCTTGTTAGAAGTCACTTTATTACAGCACAGGAGGCCCACGGATAGTTAAATATTTCATGCTCAGAAAGTTGGCCCTGGTGAACCACTCGGGCGAGATTAAGTGTCCCTCTGAAATCCAGCACCGCAGCACTACCGAAACATTCTTTGGAGATGATTCTCCGCTGGTGGGGCGGCGGGGCTGCCGGAGAGATAAGCTCGGATGAACCACTCCTTGTACACGGAAAGGCCAGGAAGCCCCTGGCGTGGAGCGGCGTGTGCCGGGCGTGTAAACTCGTGGGACGGTTGTGCTCACGTGTCCTCTGTGCGCTGGCTGATGCTGAGCCGCCTCGCTGAGCCTGAACCGAGATAAAACCGTCTGTTGTGGAAGAGGGAGGTGTTCAGAGGTGCTAAAGGCAGAGCAGGAATCCCTCCGCAGTATGAGCCTGTCTTTCAGTCCAGACTCTCGCTCCCTGCGGTGTTTCAGGGTGGCCAAATACATCTTTTCCTTGGTAGCTGATGTGGTTGTGGAGGCTTTGCTGTTAATTGCCTGGGTCAGCTGTGCTGTGAGCGGAGGGTTCTGCAGCACAAGGCCTGTTTGAAAGGCCCAGATAACTTTCACTGTGCTTTTCATGCCTAACCGAGCTGTTTACAGCCAAGTGTTGGAAGTGGGGGAGCCTTTGGCTTCACGGCGCGGCACGACTTGACTGGTAGCAGAGGTCAGGCGTTAGTGTGCCTGGGCTTCCTCTGCTCGGAGAAAGGAACCCGCGGATCTGCTTCCCTGCCCGTAAACAAAAACCATCCTTTCCACCCACTGGCTGCCTAACAAGCCACCGGAGGAAAATCTGCTTTTCCTTCCCCTTACGTTTTAGGTGAGGAAATCGGGGAAGGAATGTGAAAAATTCCCATCTATGTACAACGGGGCAGGTCTGACTTGAGAAAATGTGTACTGGTGGGTTTGTCTTCCTGGTTTCTGGTGTAATTTAAGCATTCCGTGGAGTTGAGCAGCCTTGGAGCAACCCGTACGAAGTGGCAGGTCTGACTTAAAATGTGTACTGGTGGGTTTGTTTTCCTGGTTTCTGGTGTAATGTAAGCATTTCATGGAGTTGAGCAGCCTTGGAGCAACCTGGTCTAGTGCAAGGTGTCCCTGCCCATGACAGGGGAGTTGGAACTAGATGATCTTTAAGGTCCCTTCCCACCCAAACCATTCTATGATTCCATGAATTGCTTTAATCTGGTGGTAGCATCCTGTGGCCAGAGCGCTGACTTGCCCTGGGGTCTCGTGGCTGTCACAGACCAGCCTGAATGATTCTGCACAAGAATTCCTCCTCCCTGCCTCAGTTTCCCTGTCGGTGAGATGGCAAGAGCCTCTTTTTACAGGATGGTTTTGGAAAACGCTGTGTAAAGTGAAATGTTCTCATGAGGAGGGGGAGAAGCCAGCAGCTTCCTTCGCTCCTCAGTTTCCCAAGACTGCGTGGAGGCGCGTGGCGTCTCATTCTGACGCCCGGCCGTGGTTGCCCTCTGCTGCTGTCGGCAGGAGGGGCACGGTTCGTGGGGCAGGGCAATTTTCTATCGAAGCCGTGTAAAAGAGCTGCTGATAGCCATTGGTTTTTATGGCCAGGCCAGTTCTTGCTATAAAATACCCTAAACCAGACTCGGGTGAGCAGGGATAAGAACTGGTGACGATGCGCCTTCGGGGAGCGTTTGGGGTCTTTTTGCAGTGATTTGTATGAGCAGAAAGGGGCTGGTCTGGCTGGTCATAATGGCAGCAGTGAGACTTAAACATGAACGCAGTGCTGTTGATGAAGGTTTAATTACTTCCCGGAATGGGATAATGCAGCTGCTCTGAATTAGATGCAGCTCGCAGCCGCTGAATTTACCAGGCTAATATAAAACCTTGTCGAGCCGCCCCCGTTAGCGATGATTTGGCTCTTCCTCTGTGTTGAGGGGAAACAATGGCAGATTTATATGCATTATTCTGTTAATTTTTATAGTCTTTATGCAGGCGACTGAGGAGGGAAGTGATCCACGTGCGGCTCTGTGCGGAGGCAGCTGTAGCGCAGAAGCTGAGGGCTGCGCCCACTGGCCTTGCCAGCGGTAGGGTGTCTGTTCAGGGCACCGGGGATTTGGGGAGGGACCCGCTTATGTCCGTGGACAGATGGGATCCGCGGTGGAGGCTGAGCTAGCATCGCTCTGGGCCGTGGGTGACTCTGCCCCGCCCGTCTGGCTGAGAGTGGGGACAGCAGGAAAATCTGCCGCTTGGAAGCGACGGGTCATGTCCCTTCCCCAGCCGAGCGCTGCCAATGCCCTTTGTTGGGAGTGGAAGGTGGTGTCGGCTCTGCCAAAAGGGTGGGATGGGGAAGAAATGATTCACTTGGCAAAGCCCGTCCCTGTTGCCACTTGCAACACCCTTGCTCCGAGGGCCTGGCCCAAACACCCGATGCCGACAACGCTGCTTTGTGCTCCGTGCCGCAGAGGACGTTCAGCGCGTGTCCCGGCTGCCTCCCGACCCACCGGCTCGTCGTGGGAGCAGGAGCACACACGTGGCATCCCCGTCGGGTGCAAACGCTTTGCAGTCACGCCAGGGAAGTGCTTACAGCAAACGGCGACGTATTGCCTGGGGAAGGGGTGAGGATGGCGAGCGCTCCGTTCCCCGCTTGAGTGGGAAGCAAGGTGGGGGAGAGGAAGTGTGCCAGGGGGTAGAGCTCCGAGTCTGCATAAATATTTGAATCCTTCCAAACTTGGCTTAGGGCTAAAGCGATACATTTGGTTTTGGTAATGAGCTCATAAATATTCAGCAGCCAGGAGATGAGTAGCAGTAGTCGCTGCTCACCCTGAATTTTGTGTGGGAGAATAAACTGTGTGTGCTCCTGAAGGAGGGGGGCTCCCGGCCCCCGGTTCGGCTGCCAGCCCCCTTTCCGGGGCGGATTAACTCGCATCTGCTCTGCCTCCTCTGCACGGAGCAGCTCCAGCCCTGCACGTGTGCCGGGCTCCACGCGTGAGCCCCGCTCCAGGCAGCGAACCCCGTCGTGCCCACGGGTACGGCAGGCGC